TGCTGCAGCGCCATCGTTTTTCTTCTCTTCGAATACCTTGTTGTCCATACCGGCCATGGTCTTTAAAATGCAACAATCTCAATCATTCACTCAAGAGTAACGCGAGAATGTGGATACATTCTGAACATTTCAGCAAAACATCTTATGAACCCAGTTTGTGAGCACATTTTATGAGGTTATTAAGCTGCATTTGTCAATCGTTTCTTACATCAACCAAAATATCAACTCAAAAAAACTTTTTCTCACCTGATAGTTGGGGTCATTCACTCCAACCACACCACCTTGTGCAGGTGCTTGAGGTGCCGGAGGTGCCGCAGGTCCCGCAGCTGCCTTTTTATCAGCTGCAATTTAACAGCATTCTCCAGATGATCAGATAGTTTTTAGAACGTTTCATAAAGCTTCCAAATTCAACATCCAAATGACTATAACTCAAATTCGGAACAGGACAAGTTTTGAATAAAAAATTAAGTACAGAAACGTTAAGAGCCCGCTGACCTCCGAAAGCGTCCTGTCCTAATCCTGCCATAGTTTGATAGTTTGGATCAAATGTTCCCGCGATTCCACCTTGTGTAGGTGGCTTAGGTGCATTAGCGTCTGCGGCGGCCGGAGCGGCACCCGGAGTGCCACCCGGAGCATTCACGGTTTTTTGGGCTTCAGGTCCTGCTGGAGAGCCGTCTTGTGCAGGTGTATCTGCCTCGTCCTTCTTCTGAATATGTAAAAAACAATGATATAACAACATATCACCTAACGTGACATTAGCGACTCTTTTAAATGATATATTACAAATATTCCATGTTTCATATCTGATTCGAACTGATGTCGAGTATTGGTTGTGTTTTCCTACTCAAGGACTTTTTCAGCTAGCATATATGTATATGTATGTGAAAATATACCTTTCCTGAGCAACAGCATCCAAAATCGATTAAAATAGCAGTAGTCAATGCGAGTAGTATAGCGATAATTGAATTGGCTAATGTCTTTATTGGATCAATTGTGTCCAGCATTTCGTTAGCATAATCTCTAAAACAAGTACTCTTCTTAGATGTGCAACAATACTGTTTGATCATTTGAGATCAGCTTCAATGAACAAGAATGTCGACTTTCGAAAATGGAAAAGCCTTTCAGTTCGTTTCGAAAGCGTGGCTGAACCAGCGTCCTCCTCTGAACCAAATTCATGAATAAGTACAATAATACACGCTTTTTAACCCTTCTAAATGGATCATCGCTCCCATCAACCTTGAGTTTCACACTTGGTTAAATCGTCGCTTATCATATCAGATCAGTTAAACAAACCAACTTGACAACAGTCGCAGGCCGATCACGTCGTCAGCGCTATCAACAATAGCAATAGAGTGTTCACCAGTCTCATATATATGATTGATAATATGCTAATTTTCATGATGAATATGCAGAACTGTGCACTTTATGCCAAGCAGTGTGGTTTCAGGCTACTCTCTCATATTTCATGGAGACAGATTGACAGATGATTATCGTTAGGTGCGGGGAAAGAAGAATACCAACGAAGGGAGAATGTGATATTGGTGATATGGTGATATAGTGATATCAGTGATATTGGTGATAACTGAGAGGCATAAACCCATAATGAGTTGGATTTGCTGATTAAGTAAACAAATAAATAAATGAAGGCACTCGATGATAACCGATTGTGAGCATTTTGCTTGCCTGTGCAAACTGAAACGACCCGTAGAAAATATTTTTTCGGTATATTCGCTGGATCTCATGGAATTGTCAAAAATCCATTTCAGTTTAGCTTCTTGATCTAGCAAGATAATTCAGGACAGATTCAATTATAATTTTAATGAAAAGTGTGGTAGAAATTTTAGCAATCAACCTTTAGTTGTAGTGAATGCTTGCAGTTGGAGTGAGAATAAAATGTCTTATTGAAAGAAGTGGTGCAATGAACACAGTTTCGAGCCATTCAAGCAAAGCTCAGCTAATTTTTAGTCCACCTCTTTAACACTCACACATCACTGCTGTTGTTTTGGTATTATTGATGGCTTTTCTGCATGATTAAGTGACGTTCTCGTATGATTAAGTGACGGCTCTCTTGAATTAAAGGTTACGCAGCAAGTAGGATTCGAACCTGTTAGATGCGGACAGAACTTATTAGATTTCATTGCTGCGGTAATTTTCTCATTATCTGCGACTTTACGGTAACACTGGAAATCCTGGGCGAAAAGCGAATTGCCTCACAAAATTGACGCAAAGAGCAGGGTTCGAACCCATGTCAGTTCGATTTCCAGTCGAATTCCTTAACCTCGCTGCGGTTGTTCTGCTGTTATCGATGGTTTTTCAGTATTATATGAAGTTTTCGTGTGATTGCGAGATAAAAATAATGGTGCATTGTGCAGGAATCGGACCTATGTGGGCAAAACCCATTGGATTTCACGTCCAAATCCTTTACTACTCTAATATCGTTGCGGTTACTACGTGGCTCAGAAATTGAAGTGTCGCAGGATATACGGAGTTATGAATAGTGCAAATGAAATGTTTTTATTCTTCTTGCACGTAGAAATTATTTTTGAATCCTCAGTCCGAATGGGTTTAGCGATTTATGGAAGGGCGAGAAATTTGTACTGTCGATAGGAGTGAAATTCCCCACTGGTCACATTTGATAGGGATCGATCAATTGTTAATTAAAGCAGTGTGTGCAAGACTACTTAAATGTACCTCTAAACACCGGCTGAAAGATTACGCTATATCAGCTCGGACTAGCTCAGAACTACTCGCATGTTTACTTGTAATAGCCCTTCCCTGTCTTTACTCGATATCTTCAAGAACTTCAAATTCGGAAAGCCTAACAGGCTGTAGGTCGATCGTCGTATTGCACTATACAGAGACTGCATTGATCTCTTGATACACACACACACGGTACAAAATCATGGTTCTTAGGCCATACACAAACGTAATGAAGCAATGTTTTTTCCGAAAGTTCGTATTTTGGTCAAGATCGACGCTCATTTTACTGTGATTCGATTGATGATCACACAAAAACATATGGTTTTGCATTGGACTTGTTGAATACAAACATGATGATAAGCATGCATGACAACGTGATAAGTATTGTGACAATATATGATCAGTGATCGTGTTCATCGCGACAATTAGCTTCTCTTCACTCGTCTTTTTTATCGTCACCCTCTTTCTCTTTCTCCTGCAATCAAGGGACGCAAATCATTCGACGAAGAATCAAGTTTGATCAACAGATCAATCAGACAATGGTTTTCGTAGCACTTTGTTTGAGATTTGACAATCTACTGGCTTTTTTTACTTATCTGACAATATGTTCAGAAAAATCAGTTGTCAATGTCTCCTGGAACTTTGCATTGCTAGAAAATGAGTCGCACTGGTAGAAAATTCCGAGTAAAAATTCCGAGTAAAATTCCGAGTAATTCCGAGTAACATGTTTAACTTCAGTGAGAAAATTGTCATAACAATTAAAACAATTCTCTAAGGCTCATACATCATCTTTTTTGTCGTCACCTTCCTTTTTGTCGCCTTCCTGAAATGAACACAAATTAAAGATGAATTTTATGATGGAATAAGAATCGTTGAATGGCTTGATTATACGACAACTAGTTATATCGAAAATTTTGAAACAATTTGAATCAATGGGTCATTTTTGCGCTCCTGTGANCATAAAACAAATCAGAAAGACGCTTCATGAGGTCAAAATAGCGCCACAATACACATTTAGTAAGAAATAACCGTTAAAAAAACTGTTAAAACTAAAAGCTTCGGTGAATGGTTGAATTTTTGCGCGCATTCAATGCAGATAAGGTTTTTCTCAAATGAATCTTTAAGTCATCACTCAAAAATTATGCAGTATAGGCTAGCATAATTCTGTATTCATTAGAGTTTAGATCAGATCCCATAGGAAGGAAAATTACTCATTTTTGGATAATTTGGTGGTGTCAGGGGGTAATGGAAGGGATCAGAAATTAGTTCTGATATTAAGCGTGGAAATAGTAAATCATTGCACCGAGGGGTATAAGGGGTAATATCAGTCTGCCGGATCATCGAAGGGATAATGGAGCAGACGAGCGTGAAAACCATTGGTATAGATGGTCGAACAGTTTGAGACGTCGATCAAGTGATTTAGAAAATACAGTAACCTCATCCTTCTTCTCTTCGTCCTCCTTCTTGTCGTCTTCTTTCTTCTCGTCCTCCTTCTTGTCCTCATCTTTCTTTTCCTCTTCCTTCTTGTCACCGCCCTCCTCCTTCTTTTCCTCCTCCTTCTTATCACCACCCTCTTCCTTCTTTTCCCCGTCCTTCTTCTCTTCCTCCTTCTTATCGCCACCCTCCTCCTTCTTTTCTCCATCCTTCTTTTCCTCTTCCTTCTTCTCGCCCTCCTTCTTCTCCTCATCCTTTTTCTCCTCCTCCTTCTTGTCCCCTTCTTTCTTCTCCTCTTCCTTCTTCTCACCCTCTTTTAGAGGCGTAGCTGGTGCGCCCGGAGCGCCGGGTGGTGGTGCAGCACTGAAATCAGTATTTTTTAATGCTCAATAGAATTGTCTAATCTAAATTACAAACGAAGCCAGCACTGAAGTGTTCTTTCATGTTACAGTTTCTAATTAACAATTTCGTTCAATAGAGACAGATATTCATGGAATATACTGTTAAATTGTTGGAGAATTACTCAAAATATCTATGGTATGCTGGCGCAACAGGACGTAAATAACCGGTGTAGTCAAGACATTCTAAGTATTCCTCATCAGCTCCTAGCACCCGTCTTGGTCATTTCATCAATTTGTTTCTATCATTCAATACGATCCACTTCATTACCAAACGACAACAAACTCAGGTTCAACATCGAAAGTGGATATAAGTACAAAACAAACTAACGCTTTTTTGCTCGCGCATTGCACTAAAGTGATAGCACTGAATAAACAACCGATCAACAACGTTAATATCGGATGAATCACTGTAATGGAATAATCATCAACCATTTCGTTCATCCTATTCAAAGAGTCAGTTCGGACGGGTTAATAAACAGCACTGAATATGACCAATAATAAGCCGCCTAGGGCTTCAATAGAACCTCACAAATGTACACTGGACGAACGTATTTACTTTTATACTTGATGAATAAGATAACTTGAATTTTGCATATTCTTTTTCGCTCACAATCAAATTGTTTCTAACATGCAAACGCAATCGGTAGCCTTTGACAGCAGCTTTTATAGACCATAAACTCAAACTAGAGCAGTGTAATCACCCATTTTGGGTAACGTCTCATAGGAGGTGAAATTACCCATCTTGTGTAATTTGGAGGTGTCAGGTTCTGCTGGATCAAGCAGTGAAATGAAATTCGCATGTTTCCGGGCAAACCTGAGAAGATNATCTAAGAAAATGGCTATATCTCCTCAGGAAAGCAAAATCTCTCAACAAAATATATGTTTTTCTGAATGAGGAGATCCAGTTGGATCGACTGATGCAAAAAATTCTTATGTTACTGGGCAAACTTGAGAAGACGATGGCCTTGAAGGTGGCACCCGGGATAACATTAATAAAATGCTTATATCTCTTCAACTAAGCCAAATTGCTCGGTAAAATTGTTAATATTCTGAATCTAGAGGTTCTGCTGAATCGAACAGTAAAAAGAAATTTGCATGTCTCCGGGCAAACCTGAGAAGACGGTTAGCTCAAAGATCGCAATCCGCCTATTGCTATGTGAACGTATTGATTGCTCTATAGCGTTCAATTTATATGAATAAGCGCGACTGCACTATCTAATTGAGATAGACCTAAGAAAATGGCTATATCTCCTCAGGAAGACAAAATCGCCCAACAAGGTATATGTTTTTCTGAATGTAGAGATCCAGTTGGATCGAATTATGGAAAGAAATTCATGTGTTACTGGGCACACTTGAGAGTATGGTAGGCTCGAAGATGGCAACCCGCATATCATTGAGAAAATTGCTATATGTCCTCATCTAATCAAAATTGCTCGGCAAAACATATGATATTCTGAAAGTAGAGATTCAGAGCAATCCTACGG